GAGGGGCGCCAGGCTGAGGGTCTTCTCGGAGGTGGGGGGCGTCTGAGAAGGGAGGGATTCAGAGGCCGGAGACTTGGGGGTACACGGATGGGAAATGGGGGCGCGCTCCACTGGACGCCGCCGGTGGGGAGTTCCCTGGGCCGCAGTCAGGAAGCTCTCTCCGCTGTGGACTGGGACATCTGGCCCCTTCCTTCTGGGCCTCATGGGACCGCTTAAGATGGGTGCAGGTCCTTGCCTCTGGGGCTGAAGGGACCTGGGGGCCCTCTCCTGGGTGGCTCTGGGACAAGCACCTGTTTTAGCCATGGGTGCCTGTCTGTGTAGCTGGGCCTTGGCCACTTTCACTGGGCTATTCAGCTCTGATTCCTCACTTAGCCTGCCCTGTGTGGGATCAGCTGTCTCCAGGCAGGAGGGTGACAGAGCGAGGTGCTAACACTGTCACTCCTGAGGCAGAAGCAAGGTGGGCTTGCCTGCTTGGGGGTTTTGAGCTGGGTTTTGAAGGATGTGTAGGAGTTCAGGAGGCTCCAAGAAGAGACTGGGGTTCTGTCCCAGGACTGGGGATAAGCAAATGCCTCTCTGCTCCCACACCCCTTGTGTCTGTCCTCAAATATAGCCATTTGCTCATGCCCAGGACTGTGTATGTGTGGGGAGGGGAGGCTCTCTTCAGGGCCAGGGTGGGAGTGGAGGAATTCAGGGCAGTGGCTCCTGATGGTTCACTGGTCTACTCAGGTGTTTCGGTGCCCCTGGTGGGAGCTGGCTGAAAGTGGCTCTCTGGGTGTATCAGTCAGCGGCTGCCAAGTAACAAGGTATCTTGGCCAATTTTTCTGCTAGTGATTCTGTAGTGGGCCTGCGTCATTTGGACTCCACTGGTCTCTCCTAGGGGTGGGTGTCACTCAGTAGCTTGTATTTATCCAACTGGCAGCTCCAGTGTGCCGGGAAGGGCGAGACAAAGGCTCTGTATTCACGACTTTATGGGCACCTCATTCTGTTGGTCAGGAAAAGTCTCCTGGTCAGGTCTAATGTCAGGGCTGGGGAAATAGGTTTTAGTTCTTGATGGCAGGAATTGCAAAGTCACCCGACATACAGGGCACTGGAGGAATTGGGCCATTTTTGCAAACAATCTGTCACTTTTAGAGAGGACAAGGAGACTTCCAGGAAGAAAGGATAATTGTCATTGGGTTTTGAAGGCTAACTAAGAGTTTGCCAGATACGCCCACCCTGCAGGTTTGACTGGGGTGTTTTGAGGCCCTGAGGCTGGTGGGTACCACAGCAGGGGAGGTGAGCAGGGACACTGGGCAGAGCTGAGGCAAGTCCCCTGCCCGTGCTCCCTCGCACACCGCCAACGTTCACTCTTCCCTCCTCTCTCTCCTCACAGATGGCGCGGCCAATCCAGGTGAAGCCCGCTGATAGCGAGAGCCGCGGAGGTAGTTGTCATCTGTCCATGGTCACCAGACTGGGGGGCGGTGGGGAGGGGGGCGGAAGGGTCGGGCAGGAAGGGCCCAGGTGTGGGGGTCTGGCCAGCGTGGCTGCTTCCCCAGCTTGGAGATACACTGCTCTCTTTAGGGCTCGGTGATGGGTATCCTGATGGGGTCTCTGAGGGCC